ATATATATATATATTTATCAATATCTGGACACCCCAATTTTATTCGAAACTTATGTATATCGATTATTTTAACTAACTTCGACATGCGATCTCATAGTTTCCAACAAGGTCAAAACGCAGTGCGACAAAAGGAAATCTAGGACGTGGTCGATCATAAGACTAGATGACAAAAATCTATAAAATAACACTTTATATATATATATATATATATATATGTATAGGTACGATATATATATAGGTATATAGAATTTATGGGCCACAATTGTGGAAATATTTAGGTTTATACGAGTGACAAGATCGATCTTTTAAAAAGGAGTCAAAAAGAACAGATAGAGGAGGTGAATTTGTCGAAAGACACGCGCCGGTGTACCGCGCATTAGTAGATTTTAAAGAGAAACGTCGTTTCGTAAGAAATCGATCGATCTCATAAGCCCCGCCATTTAATTCTCGAGTTAGCCGGCTGGAGGAGGTGGTGGCGCTGTTGTCGTGGATGGGATGCGCGAAGGTAGGTGCGTGGATGCACATGCAGTTATCGCAGTTCGTGGTTGCGCGATCGCGAGGACGGTCGAGGATTTTCGTCGTCACTTCGCTCACGGTTCTCATTCGCGAATAAGAAGAAGAAGAATAAGAAGAAGAAAGGAAAACGATATATAAATTAGGGAAATAGATAGAGAAGGAAGTGGAAAGAGGAGGTGTTGAAGTTAAGACGAAGATAGAACGAATATTGGGAGGAGGATTGTGCAACGGGGGAGTCAATAGTGTAATAAAAGGGCGGAGATTACGCATTAAGACAACTTTAAAATGTTCTCCGGCTTGACTAACCAAGTTTCTACTTGGATGGGAAAGAAAGCTGACGAAGTTCCCGAACTTCCACAGGAGGAAAAGGTTCCTCCCGTTGAAGGAGAACTCGTCGAGGGCGAGAAAAAAGATAGGTTAGATATAACCAACTTTATTTCCATCATTATCATTATTATTATTCTAACTGTTTATTACTATTTTTATATTCGTTTTATTTTATTATTTTTAATCAATAATGATACTTGTATATTCATTATATATATATATAGGGTATCAATTAATTATGATTCTCTTATCTACGTTTGTGTATACGTTAAACTAATTTGTTTATGCAAATTAGAAAGGATTCAAATCTATATATACATATATAACAAATGTTACGGTAAATGCGTGTTGTTTTGTTGCGTCGTAGCATGTTATACTAATTTGACGTAACGTCATCAACAATGCATTCACACACTTGACAATCAAAATGTGTGTTTATACGTATTACCGTTATCAGTTAGTTAAGTCAAGTTTATCTGTCAGATAGTCTGTTTCTGTTATGTATAATACATTAAAAAAAAAAGAATGAAGTATTATTTCGTACGATTTGAAACAGTCAAACTGTTTGATGAGTATATCGAAGAAATGTACGTACGCTTCGTTAAATCGTCGTAGACGTTTCTCGTCGTTTCTTTATCTAAATGCAACGGAACACAACCTTTCTACATATATTTTCGAGATTAGATCGATACTGGCCCCGAGCACTGTACTTACGTAAAGTACTATGACGCGTTTCGGTTGAGTATAATAACGAAAAGAGGTTAAACTCCGAAAGAAAATTGAACAATAACGCTAGTCTCGAGATATATCGAATAAATTATATCGAACGATTCGATATATTGAATATATTTTTTGAAACCTTACAATTATATTTTGTTCTTTATCATTCGTTTTTTATTTTATCTTCTCTCTCTCTCTCTCTCTCTCTCACTCACTTGTTCGTTATATTTATGAATATGTAATAATTAAACGCGTCGTTTCTATCCGGTAATAATATTTTTTATATTTCAAATGTTTTTCTAGATCGTTAGGAAAAAAGAAAAAAGAAAAAAAAAAGAAAAAAAAAGAGAGTTACG